TTTTTTTTTTTTTTTTTTTTTTTTTTTTTTTTTTTTTTTTTCTCGTCGCCACTTGTTATATTCGAAAGCACACGCGTTGTAGTTAAGAGTAGATGAGAGACTGACTTTATTGAAAGAATAGAACTAAAACTAAGTATACAAAATGAGAATGAATTTGATGATATGAATGTGGTTTTACATGTGTATGTGAACATATTTTGAGTGGAGCTTATTTAGAGTATGCATACATATACAACAATATGAATATATATTTTGGAGTGAAATAAACTTTACATATATATCAACTAGCATGGTAAAGGAAAAAGAAAAAAAAAAACTAAAAATGCATCTGATCAAAAGATGATTGTACCTAAAATATAGTGTCTGTACCTAATGTAGCTTTAAGTCATCAAACGTCGGAAAAAGGTAGAATTGTACCTACTTTTTCATCCCTGCTTCCTATATCAAAATATGAGTTTTCATAAAGTGGGCTTAGCAACTTTATATGTAAGTATATTTAATATCATATATCTGCAGTTTTTACAAAAATTTATTTTATAATATCTATTTCTGACTTAACTGTAATTACATTACACGCAATATTATATATATTGCGCTTCTACATAATTTCTGAGATATTATTATATCTAACTGCATTTAAATGATGCATATTTCGATTTGTTCACGTTATCTGATGTTCTCGTGAACGTCAAGCTGTGAGGGTATACTTTATCGTGCTCTGAATTTGGCTTCTTATTTGCTTAGTTTATTGTGCTAAAAAGTGCTTATGAGCATCTTAGTGTGAAACAATTGAAGCTAAGTGAAAGTTATTGTGTTTTATATTAAACTAAATTTAATTAAATTTCACTAGCATACATTCTAATATTGCCGAGTCATTTGTTCCTATCATTGTTGTTGTATCCTTTGTAGTTTACTGAATTCATTTTGTTTTTGCAGATTTGTTCTACTCTTTTTGTTTACTCCTTCTAGTAATTCTTGTCACAGCTGTTTGCGTTGTGTTTATTAAGTGTCATAATTACAGTGATACTCAAACTGTGCGCTACATTTATTTAAAGCTATTTACATCAGCTCCTTAATTTTTATAATTTATTTTGTTTGTCTTTTTATTATTATTTTTTTTGTTTGTCTATTATTACATAAATCTCTCAATATGAAGTGCGATTTTGATACTTGCCAAATTAAAAGCGATTCTGAACGCTACTTATCGTGCTGGCTGTGTGATGGTATTTACCATCTAAAATGTGCTGGTTTGACGGGAAGAATTTTGGACGCTATTAATGATGGCAAGGGCCTTCGCTGGTCTTGCGTAAAGTGTAGGTCAACCGAAGTTGATCTTTTCAAGCTATTTAGGCAAACCAGAAATGGTTTTACAGAAATAGGAAAGGAATTGTCGGTACTGACAGAAAAATGTAAGCATTATGAAAATGTGTTTAAATCATTCAAATGCTTAGATACCTTGCAATCTGTTAAGGATATCCGTGTGTCTTAACGTAAGCGTCTTAGTCCATATAAGGAAATTATTGCCGTTGCACGTCAGAATAATCTTCCGACTGAACTAATTAATCTAACTTCTCCATGTCCTCCAGCATCAGAATCCTCAGCCTCAAAAGAGCGTGTAACGAAATCTGCTTCGGATAATAACGAGCCTGAAGTATCTTCCCCTTCCCCCATTGAAGTGGTGGCATCATCTTCAAAGCCTCCACCGCCTTCCCTATCCTCAACTACTAACGCAGTAACTCAACCCCTTCCGCCAGTACTCCAGTCTGATACAAGGAAACTAGTTGTGGTTCCGCCAAAGAAGTCAATCTTTGTCTCTAGATTTTCGAGAGACACTACCGAAGACGATATAAAGCTTTATATCTCATCAAAAATTACAACTGTCGACTTAAGCATCAGAAAATTTAATTTTAAATACGAAAGAAATATTACCTCATTTAAATTGACGAAAATTTAGATAATTTTAGTGCGCTGCTTAGTAGCTCTTTTTGGCCCCCCGGAGCTTTCGTTCGTGAATTCGAATATAGGCCCAAAAAAGGAAATAACTTAGCTAATATTCCCCGTCAAAAAACTAGTTATTAAATCTGCTTTAAGTATTTATTACCAAAACGTAAGAGGCTTAAATACTAAATTAACGAACTTATACCTTAAAGGCTTGAATGTAATTATAATATTCTTTCTTTCACTGAAACTTGGCTCAAACCTCACATTTTCAATTCAGAGATTCTTCCAAATAATTATCATATCTATAGACAAGATAGGGTGGACAGAATCGGCGGTGGCGTACTCTTCGCTGTAGTCTCTTCAATACCATCTGAAGAAGTTAGTCTTCCACACATTGATTCAGTAGAATTCAAATGCATTCGTGTACAGGCTCGAAAAGGGTATATTTACTTAGCTCTATGCTATATTCCTCCCCGATCTGACACATTGGTGTATTCACGACTCATCTTTTTACTGAAATCAGTTAATTTCCTGACTAAACCCTCTGATTCAATGATTGTGTTGGGTGATTTTAATTTACCAAGCATATCATGGAACATCATTGACAATGATATCGTACCTTTCACGTCTAGTGCGTGCAACAACGTATTTTTAGAGGAGATGGCTGAACTCTGCCTAACTCAGGTTAATGTACTTCACAATAAGTCTGGTAAAGTATTAGATCTTGTTTATGTTGATGATGCATCTAAATCCGTTGTAAATAAGCGTGATCCACTAGTTTGGCCCGAAGATGTCTACCACCCCGCTATGGAGGTATCTTACGAAGTTATAAGTGATGGTCAAAATTGCAGTACCCAAGCATACGAACCAAATATTCGCTTTGATTTTTCGAAAGCCAACTTTAAAAAGTTTAACAAAGAACTGTTTAAATTATCGTGGCCTGCATATAAAGAAAATATTGAACAAAGCGTTGCATTTTTTAACTTTACTTTACATAAATTATTTGAAAAGCATGTGCCTAAACGCATGTATGTTCCTGAAGAAGAAATACAGTTATGGTTCACTAAAGAACTGAGAAATTTGAAAAACAGAAAGTCGCGTTATTTTAGATTACACAAAAAACCCGGTTTACACTCATACTATGTAAAATACTAACTTTTGCGTCATAAGTTTTTTGAATTAAACAAAAAGTGTTATAAATCTTACTTGTGTAAAATCAAACGGCGTATAATATATAATCCCAAATCATTTTATGACTTCGTAAACTCCAAGCGAAATGTACGTGGGTTTCCTTCCGCTATGAAGTATCAAAATACCGTCTCTAGTGATAATCAAACAATTTCTAACATGTTCGCTCAGTTTTTTAAATCCAATTATTCCATTAACTCACATGTTAACATTGACTATCCTTTTAAACTATGTCCAATGAACTCAATAAATATCCCAGTAATATCTCCCGATGATGTAGTAGTTTATCTGAAATCCTTAAAGCAGTCCTTCAGTTATGGTCCTGACCAGATCCCTACTTGTATTCTTATAAATTGTGCTGATTATCTCTATGAGCCGTTAACAGCGTTATTTAATTTCTCTTAAAGAGGGCGTTTTTCCAACTATATGGAAGGAATCGTTCATAACCCCGTTACATAAAAGCGGTAGCAGATCTTCAGTGGAGAACTACCGGGGAATAGCTAAGCTTTCTGCAATTCCTAAATTATTTGAAGCAATTATAACACGCATTCTATCTCTTCTAGCATTTCATATAGTCAACATGGATTTTGCAAGGGCAAATCAACTTCTAAAAATTTCCTTGAATTAACATCCTATATCTCAAAAGCATTTAGTGAAAGCAAAACTGTTGATGTTATATACATATACTGACTTCAGTAAAGCATTTGACAAAGTGTGCCACTCGTTGCTCATCTATAAACTTGATCTTCTTGGTCTTCACCCTAATTTTCTACGTTGGATCTCTTCATACCTCTATGATAGATCACAAAGGGTAATGTTTAAAAAACTATCTCTGACGTCATTGAGGTTACTTTAGGAGTTCCTCAAGGTAGCCACCTAGGCCCGATTCTGTTCTTGCTTTTTATAATCGATATTTCTACAGATATACAATTTTCCAAAATTTTAATGTATGCAGATGATGTAAAGCTTTATAAATCGTACGTTTCAATTAAAGAATGGTCTTTGCTACAATCAGACTTAAACAGCATGGCTTACTGGTGTCAAGTAAATCTTATGCCTATAAATCTTAAGAAATGTAAATTAATGTGCTTCTCGCGAGGAGATGTTCATCCCGCTTCATATACAGTAGGCAACCATTACCTGGAAAAGGTATACAATTTTGTGGACCTTGGTATCACAATGGATCCTAAGCTTAATTTTAATCTTCATATTAATGTGACAGTCAACAGGGCTAAAGGTGTACTTGCATTTGTGAAACGATGGTCAAAAGAATTTTGTGACCCTTATATCACTAAAACCCTGTTTACAACATTAGTAAGGCCAATTCTGGAATACGGTTCGGTGGTTTGGAATCCAAGGTATCAAATTTACTCAGACAAGATAGAATCAATTCAAAAACAATTCCTACTTTTTGCTTTAAGAAATTTCCGTTGGGATTCTCAATATAACCTTCCACCTTATACGAGCCGATTAAAACTTATTAATCTTCCTACACTTTCCAGCCGCAGGCAAATGCTTGGTACAATTTTTATAGTTAAATTACTAACAGGCTCAATTTCAAGTCCGCATCTTCTTGGCGCAGTTAGCCTTAATGTTCCCTCCCGGGTATCAAGACACTTTTGCCCCCTATTTCTGAAAGCTTGTAAAACTAATTTTGAATTGCACGACCCACTCCGTTGCTTATGCCAGGATTTTAACTCTCATTCCAGCACGTTTGATATATCAGATCCGCTTTTCAGCATTAAGAAATCGATACTGTCCTCTCTCAATAAATGAATCATTAAAATAAAGACATAAAATCGGCTGATGAATTTAGTTCTGTAGCTGAACAGTTTTGTATCTCGACACTTAACAGACTCCTGCCTATCGTGACTCGGTGCAAAAATTGAAAATAAATACTGGTTCCGTACGTCATGCGGACTGCGCCCCTCGTGCGGATGGGAGGGAATGGAGGGTAAAAACCGTTGGGATTATTATATATTATATTAAACTTTCAGGGTTTTAGAAATTTCGTTTCAGAATATGGTCGCTTATGGTGCAATACTTCGTATCGACCAAATGCAATACCACGTATAAGATAGTCCGAAAGTTTCACAAAGGAGAGAAGAAATATATTTTCTTCAAAACTTTTGAATGGTTTCCCAACTAAACTTACTAAATATGAGCTTTTACTATAACTATCCACCATTAAATTTGTGAAGTAGGGAAGCATTGAGACAGGTTAACCAAAATGCATGTTTTTCTATACCTCCTTATACGTGGTATTGCATTTGGCGCATACGACGTATTGCTCGCCATATGCCTACTAAGTATGAGACTGGACCTATCTTTCTTCTGTATCCTTTGTTATTAACAAATTCATAAATATAGTTACCGTTTCTTGCTGCTAAAATTCCGCCAGTTGCAAATCCACTTATTATAGAATTCCATGGATCCTCTTTTTTTCGAAAATGTACTAAAGTACAATCTATAGTACTAAACATTCCTCCCCAAACTGCGAAATTTCCTGCAATCACTGGAGAACGTACTTTGATAGCAGCCAAACTTCCAACCTATGTGAAATATATGTAAATATACTTAGTTGCTTTCACTTTAAACATTTTTAAAATATTAATTAATAGTGAATAAACGCAAAAACATATTTCCATGGAATGCACCTAAAAACAGCAGACTATTTAAAAACTATGGTTATTTGACATAATTTTAATGCCAGATTATCTTCATACATTTACTGTGTAGATAAGGCCTTCCCAAAGTGGGTGCCGCGAGCGTATGCCTGGGGTGCCGCTAGTGGCTAGAGTATACTAGTGGTGCGGACAAATTCTTTACACTTTCCATACAAAACGCAAGCAGTTTGATGAAACTTCAACATGGCGGACAGTAAATCAAAAAATTTAGATTTTTATTAAAATTACCTTCAGTGGCTCCTCAAACCCCATACACAACACAAATAGCTTGCAGTAAAGGGATATTTCGCTCTTAAGCGTAGTTCCCCAGTACGTTTTGTCAAAGTAAAATTGAATCAGAAAATTTTCAGAAAAATAGCCGAAAGCGTACCCTTTTCACAACCACTTTCGGTACTTTTGTAGACCTAATCCGTTTTTCATCCACCTTTCTTCCCGTTTTCGGATTAATTTTCAGATTTTTTGCTGGCTGGGCTGTTTTCGTAACAAGTGCAGCAGCTTCGCGCACGTGTATTTATTACTTATTCTTTGGAACTTCACAATCACACTGTCAAAGAGCGAATCAACATGATTTTAGAGGCAGTCTTCTCGTGTTAGAGAGGTACCCATTCGCAATGCAAGAGGCAGAAAACGCCACGAGAAGTCACTGTATGATCCCTCGGTATTCCCTGGCGAATAGGAAGATGCCGCCACTAGACTTAAAACCCACATTGGATGACGCTGCAAAGATAACAGGGGCCTGCGAAATTAAAATACAACTCTGGCTTTTTCTAACATGTCGAGATTTTTTTTATTGTGACATGTATATTTTAGTATTTCTAGCAATTTGCATGAAAACCCCACAAATAAACAAAGCAATCAGAAAAACGTATATAACTTCGAAGTCAGAAAATTGATAACAGCCGGTTTCACTAGCAATTTCCATATAAAATTCAAAGAATTAAAATCATTTATCACTTCAATTGCTTTCGTGAAATTGGCTGTAAAAATTATTTTCTTAGCGTCAACGCGCATTACCAGCGTTAACTTGGAGAGTTTAGAAAAAACCATTGTCGAATATTTTCCCAACATTGAATCTGAGGATGGCTTCAGCTGGATAACAAACCCGTGTTTATGTGGCCCGAAAAGTAAACCTACTGAGATGACCAATTAAGCTTTTGAAAACCTTATGGACATCAGTGAAGACAGGACTTTGAATATTAAATACTACGAAGAGAGTTCTGCATGCAAGTGTATGCAGAAAACACTGCTGTTGGCAAGATTGCATTATAAATACTAGTGTTTTTTAGGCCCTTATTATGATCGCTCTTCGCTTGTTATTATTATGGTGAAATTATGAGCTATACAACCGTGTCAAAATTTTCGTTGAGTATCGAATTTTCTGTCGAGCAGAATTTTGCTTTCGATGTACACCATCGGCGAAGAGTTAGAAAATTGTGAAAAATTTATGATTTTGCATTTTTTTTTACTTTATGGCGGCTAGACATTAATTTTAAACAACTCTTATTAATTTCATGCAGTTCTAACGTTGTGAATATTAAACACAAGCTCGAAAGGCTGGTTTTACTTGTGAAAGAGAATCCCAATACTCAGTTGGCACGATCTCTGAGAACAAAATCATAAGCTGTTGATATTTTTAAAATATTTTAAATAGATTTGGCTCACAAACGCCTCTTTAGACAGTCGGAAGTTTTTAATACATCTGTAGACAAATTTCTTAAATATTGTAGTCGTTGGTCCACTATTAACAAATTTAACGCGTTCAGAATTCAGCTACTACGGAAAATAAAAGTCTTCGATTTACTATTTTGTACGAAGAACGGAACGGTTTATTTTGCTGTGTGTTACTCCGGCTGCTGACCAGCGAATGGTGGGCAAGTAAAAGGCAAATACGGAGCAAACTCACAGCAGCGAAAATGTGTACATACACTGAGAAAAAAACGCGTTGTAAGAATAAAAAAATTTTATTTGATTACCATTTAAAAATGTTCGTTTTTAAATCAAGTGAAAAGTCTTAACAAAATGGATTTTTTCATTATACATACACTACGTATAATGGGAATATTCAAATCAAATACGCCCGTATTAAAATGAAGCATTTTCACTGCACGAAAGCATATGTATACAAAGCATGCAAAGCGGGGACAACACATACATACATACATATGTACAGACACGGTACGACATCATGCACTAATCGCGCGCTGTGATTTTGATTCAAACTCAACATTTGAAAACACATTTACATGTATGGCTGTAGCTGAGTGTGCAAAGACGCTTGATACAATTGGTTGCTACCAAGAGCGTCGGGGCTCAATTACCATGGGACGGAACACAAAATTAAATTTTTTCTTCTTAATTTTAATTTCGTATAACGAAAAGGCATCTGTGCACTTCGCAACGACATATTTTATAACGTACATACTCAAATTTAAAACGAGTTGGGTTGGTGCTCTTTCATATGCGTATTTTTTTAAATTTAGCACGTTTTTTTTTAATTCTAAAATTTTTTTCCCTCAGTGTAAGTATGTGAACATCCCCACCCTCGAGAATCAACCCGATTCACTAACTTTCACATCCAGAACTTCCAGCTTGGATACGGCTCGCCGCTTCACTCCAGCAGTTGTGCGCGCGTCAACTTGACGAATTTCACCATCTCGGCCAGGGTATACCTCCTCTACTACGCCCCGACACCATTCTCTTGGCAGTACGTTGGGAACACATAGGAATACCAGATCTCCTTTGCTTAATGGCTCAGTCCTTTGGCACCACTTAACGCGCCGTGTTAACGTAGGAAGATACTCCTCTATCCAGCGCTTCCAAAAGTGGTCTCGGAGTTGGCGGGCGATGCTCCACTGTTGGCGTATAGCGTATGTGCTGGTTAGGATTTCGGCTGCCGCTGGCGTCTGTGCAGTATTAGCCGATCCTAACAAGAAGCCGTTTGGAGTTAAAGGCTGCTCCTGGTTTGCTTCGATTGGCAAATGCGTGAGGGCGGGAGTTAACGACATTCTCCGCCTCGATCAAAAAGCAGTTAAGGGTGTGCTCTTTTGGGGCGACTTTTTTAATTGTCTGGCGTAGAACTTTCTTGATGGACTGGACCATTCACTCACAGGCTCCTCCTTCGGCTGGGTTAAACGGCGAGTTGAAGATCCAGTCGATACCACGTTTTGACAGCTCGCTTTGCATGCGTTCGCAGTCGAAGACCTCATCGAAGCGTTTGGCTTCGTTATTGACTCCGACGAAGTTCTTCCCGTTGTCAGATCTTATTCCCTGTGGCACTCCTCGGCGATTTATAAAATTGCGTATTACCGTTATACAAGAGTCGGTGCTGAGGTCATGTGCTATCTCCAAATGCACGGCTCGTATGGTTAGGCATGTGAAGAGAGCCACCTATCTCTTCTCTGTACTGCGTCGCCCGGTCACATGTAGAGGTCCGAAGTAGTCCAGGCCCGAGTATGTGAACGCCCTAATGTATGGAGTTACCCGGTCAACGGGAAGCGGTCCCAACAGCGGGGGAATCGGAATTGCTTTGCGGATGCGAAACACTGGACAACTGGCAATGGCGTTGCGTAGAAGGCTTCTCAAGC